TTTGCAATATTTATAAATAATATATAAAATATCGAAGCATTAAATCTTATTTATAAATAAGTAAAATCGCTTTATATAATACACTAAAGTCATTTTACGGAATTTCTAATTGAAAAGTATATGAGAAAAATTTTATTTGATATATCCTGGCTAGAGTTGCCAGCCTTATAAGAATGGAGATTCGCCATGCGCTTTGACATTAGTTCCGTTTATAACTTTTACACGTTTCAGTTATTCGAACATATTGAGGGAGTTACTGGAGCTAAAGTAAGCAAATCAGCCACATTAGGGAAATCAATTTCTCTACGACACCCAGGGTATCTCCTAGTCGAGCTAGCTCACATAAAACACTCTGACTTGTTTATGATATTAATTGTTATGGACATACAACTAAATACTAAGTATTTCTAGAGCATTTATTTTTAACTCAATTAAAGTTTGGAATCCAAAACGTTCAAAACAAACTAAAAATACATTGAAGACTAACAAAGCACTCCAACAGCAATTTTCTTGTGAGAAATCAGTGTGTGCTTAGAGAAATACAAAGGTTATTTATATAGATAATAATAACTAGAAATAGTGATGATTCGAATATGAAATAATTCAAACTGACAGAATGAAGGGGTTCTGGTTATGGTTTTCTTTATATTCTTAATGCCGATATGGTCAGTTTTAAAGTGAATAATAAGAATTATAAGAATTAGGTTCGAGAATTTGGGGTTCCGAGTGAGGTTAGGTTTTCTTTAAGGAGCTACCTTGTCTTTCCATTTTATGATCTTGGATTTTGAATCTTGCATAGTCAATACCGAAAATCTGGAATCTAAGCAATGTCATCATTTTTTTAAACTGAATACCTATGAAGAATTGGTGTCGTGGTCAAGTCAAGTCCACGCTTCGACGGTTTGCCTCCCCTCCCAGTAGGTCGAAAGCTGCGTCTTATCAATTGCATTTGCATATCAAGAAGGATCTGCCCTGACCTGCCCCAGCGCATGGCCAGTGCTTGCCCCGGCTGCATGCAACTGTCTGGAGCTGTGCGGCCAAGAGGTGGGGGCGGGAGTGTTATAGCTCTATGCATGCGCAGGCACGTCTGGCCCAGTCAATGGATATCGCTTGGAGAGCCATTGAAGCGTTGAGCCGCCTTTTGTTTCGAGCAACGATTCCCCAGCGAATATCGATGACGATAATGAATTAATGCGGCACAGACTCTCACATGAGCTATAAGCAGTTGCAGTTGCAGTTGCAGTTGCAGTTGCATTTAACCATTCCCCACAGACCCAGCGACTATAGAGCAGCGACCACAGACTATCGGCTATCGGCCACAGACTCACGCATGGCCACGAGCACGAACTCCAGCCGCAGCAGGGCCACGCAGCAGCTGGATGAAATGAAGCGATGACTGCGCAACTATTTTTGGAGCAGCAGCCACAAACTTATCAATTCTCTCTCCTTTCTCTCCGTTGTTCTTCTTCTGCAACTGCTTGGGCTGTGCACTCTTTCGTTGCGCTCGCCTCCCACCCACGTCTGCTCACGCCTGCTCACGCTTTACGCCTCACGCCTGTCGCCTGCTTCGTGCGTATTATTATATTATTGTGTGTCTGTGCTATTTTTGGCTAAAAAGGGAGGGAGAACGACAGGGAGAGGGAGAGGGAAGAAAACGGAAAGAAAGAAAGCCAAACGGGGAATGCAACCGCTTGACCCCGTTTCAACTTTACCAATAAGGCACACGCCCCACCGTCCGAGAGGGGCGGCCGGGCAAGTCATCCGCCCGGTCAGCCGACATCGATGGCTCAGCTAATTACGCCGGCTGCGTTTGCCTGCATTTCCCGTTAATTTGCTGGAAATTTGATGCACGATCTGCACGATATTTGTATTAATTTATTTGAGCAGGCTGAACGCTTCACTTGGAGACGCTGCTGGCGGCGGCGGCGACGGCGGCGACGGCGCACGCTGCCACCACCACCAATAAAACTGAGATGGAAAAGCGAAAGCAAAAGAACAACAAAAACCTAAATAAAAACGAGCCATTTAATTTACGAGCCGTTTGTGTGTGGCCAAACATTCTTGCCGTTTTATCGAAGAGCCGAAAGCTCTCTGGGGAATACCCAGCGGCATGTCGTTAAATTATAATATCCTATTTAGCAAATCATATTTCTTCTCGTCTCTGATTGACATCTCGAGCGAGCAAGAGAAAGAGGCTGTTCGTTTGACATCGCTGAGGACAGCTGCAGCTGGTTTTAGTTGGGAATTTGCTTCAAATTGACATCATAATTGGAATTGGAATTGAATTATATTAAGTCATCCGTCAAGGTGAAATTCTCAACAAAAAATGTTCAATTATTCAATTAACTAAACTAGCCAAAGAATTTAGGAGTATTTCGCACGAGTTGATCAGCTCTCAAAAATGAGAGTTCTGGGCTGAGTTTCTGTCGATTGCAATATTACTTAAAGTCGCTTACAGAGCTAAGAGGTTCAAGACGTCAACCTCAGAGAGCAGATCGTGAATATGCAGTTAGTTGTCCTAGCAGACGGCAAAGGCTAGTTGTCCAATCTACAGGATCAGCACCTGGCAAGTTATCTGTTGTAACTTTATTGTTAATGTTAATTTCAATGTTAATGCTAATGTTAATGTTAATTCATTATTAATGTCTAAAAGGTGAGTTCCTAAAAAGCAGTGTTTAATGTGAATGTATAGAGTAGAATTCGGTTATACCGACTCCGCTTATTTCGACGAAAATTCTGGTCCCCAGGCAAGCCCAAGGCGAACTTATACTATAACGTTGGAGCCGGATTCTACTGTATGGGTATAACTATATATATGTATTGATATAAATGTATATATATGTTTATACATTTCATGCGCATAGACTTGGAAATCATTGAATAGTAAAAAAAAAGGCTAGGGCTAAAAAAGTGAGAGAATTCAGCTTGACATATAGGCATACACCTACATATAGGTATATATATAGTGCATAGCTAAATGATTTCTACATAATTCCAAACTGATATGATAATTGCAAAATAAATATATATTATATATACGAATAAGATTTGGTTCAAACTAAAAACGACTCAAAGCATTGCTAGCTGCCTATACAGCATCACCTAACCTCCATGTTCGGCAATCTGTTTAAAATAGTTAAACACAAATGCTCTTGAGATGTTTAGGTCTTAGCTTCAGATTTGAGTGTCCCTTAAATTTGGTCGATTTGCACAGGAAATTCTTGCTGGGCTTCCATTTTCTTTTTTTAATTAGAGCTGGTCGACTGGCTGGACGCCCTCATGCATTTGAAATAATGCAAAAGTTGGCGGCCAGCCCAGATAGCGAACTATTATGCATTTTTCACACTCGCATTTGGCTAATGCTTTGCCGGGTTGCATTAATGAGCCGGAGCTTATCTGGCAGAGACTTTGCGCCGCCTTCGCCTGCACTCAGCGGGGCTCGCAGAGCAGCTGAGATGGAGACGAAGACGAAGACGGCCGCCACAGACTCTGACTGGCAATGAACAACTTTTGTCTTAATGGCCGAATTATGCGAAAAATAAAACCAAGCAAAAAACAAAATAAACAAAATTCATGTGAAATAAAGCAAAAGCAAATCTATGCCTTTGTCTCGAGCAGCCAGCTCACGTAGGCCCAAAACCAATTGAATTTTAATGGACCCTCCGCCCCGTCTAGTTGCCGCGCGATGTCGCATGCAGTGAAGTCCGTATGCACAGATTATGGGCGGCAGCTGTCCGGCATTGCGACAAATGGCAGCATCATCAAATCGCCGATGGACGTCAGACAATTTGATATTTTCATAACTCCAGCTATCAGTCGTCAGCCGGGGCCGGGGCAGGCCTTATTGATATGCTTCGCATGGTGTCTGTGCGCAAAAATCAAAAAAAGAAGAAGAAGAAATAAAGTGTGGGGGGAGGGGGCTGGATAACGCATAAATTCTATGCCCATGTCCAGAGTGTCCAGTGTGTGTCCTGGCGCTCGCCTTTGTCTGGCTGATTGCAACAATAATGAGCGGAAATCGCACAAGCAACACGGAGACAGCCAGACAAACAGCTGGACAACAATGCAAAGGGAGCACACGTTGCGTCACGTACTCCATCCCAGCCAGCTCTACCAGCTCGGCCAGCTCGACCAGCTCGGCCAGCTCAGCCTCAACCCCATCAGGACTCGACGCGATTCAAGATTCAACTCGATGCTCGGCGACTCCTTTTCTATTTGCATCCATTTCACTTTTGTCCTTCGCTGACGGCCGCGCGGCCGGGCGGATGGATGCTGTTGATAGTTGAGGACGTCTCGTAAGTGCGCGAAATAAATATGAGCATCATGTAAATAGTTTGCTTGCTGCACAGTGGGTCGCATGCCGTGATTCGTGGATGAAATATTGACAACTTTACATACATATATATTTATACTAATTTTTAATATGTATTTATTTGTAATTTTCATGAACTACCTCTTGTACCTGAAGAGTTCTCTCATCGGAGACACTTTACTATGTATAATAATTTATCAGGAATAATATTTATCCAGCTCCGTCATTTTAGATACCCTACTATCATAGTTTATAAGGAGTTATTTATCAATTTCGCTCATCTGATATATTTTATTTA